AATTGAAATGGACCAAGTCCAGTAGTCCAATAGTCCAATGGTCCAAAAGTCCATTAGTCCAAAAGGTCAACACTGATAAGGTCAGTGTTTAATAAAAAAATACTTTAAAAATTATTGTAATTTATTAAATAAAATTTACCCTTATAACTTAATGCTAGACGAGCCCTATAAAAAAAAATATTAAGTAGATTATTCCAAGGTTAATTACGTAATGCGATTTTGCATGATAAGTCACGTGATGTGCAGACGTATGTGAGGCATGCCAAATAATCGATACTTCTTTAAACTTTCAGTTTCGTTAAGTAGATGTTGGTTATGTATTGTATGTAGTAATTCTATCTATTAATATAAAACTCACTGGATGATTTTTTAAAACGTGAGTTCATAGGAACGATTTTTTAATTTTTTTTAAAAATATATCTAAAAAAAATCTTTGTGAGTGTATTATTTTTAACGATTTTGTCAGAAATTTATTTTGGTTTTTCTTTTAATACACACTTTTACTATTTTATAACGCGTAATTCAAGATCGTATCCATCTTTTGTTTTAATACCGCACTTTTATTTTATTTTGTTTTTCATAAAAATTGTGTAATTAACCTTACTTTGAATTGAATTCGCTAAATATATTACATTCTAGGATAATAGAACCCATTTTTTATTCTCTCATTCTATCAGTAACATTTCAGATAAAGTAATTTTGATTATCCATTTACTTATTTTATGACATTTTAATATTTCTTCATCAATGTCTTGATTAGTGAATATAATGTAATTCTAAGAGAAAAACTATTGAAATTATAAAGGTCGAATTAATCGAAAAATCATACACAACCCATCACCACTCCACTGCATAATATACAGAAAGTAGTATATATTAAAATTGCTTTTATATAATCAAATAAAGTTATAATGAAGTGGATAAAATTGTAGTGCTGAAAGTATATCAAAAAATCATGAGAAAATAACTTAAAGAGGTAAAATCATAGCAATAGTGATAGTATTAATGACAGTATTGGTGATTAAAAAAGATATAGATAAGTAATTATATAAATTAAGATCTGAAAGAGATGTATCAGTAGATATAAACCAGACGACAAATACAAGCGAAGTTGTTTTTTGCATTGTTTTATTGTATATAAAAACATTATATGGGAGATTTGCTATTAAAAGTGGGTTCCGAGACTATAAATTGATTTTGAGTTAAATGATGTTCAAAAAATAGTTACGCCACAATAAACATACTTGTCCAATAAAAAATTGCACTAAAAATATTAAAAATATATATATTGCGAATCAATTAATAAGGTGATACTATATATGTTGATCGATCATTTCTAAAATTTACATAAAAATCTAATTTTAACTCGAATACAGGGTGGTTACGAAATGCATCGATCTTTTTTAACGATATCAATATATTATAGGTCCATTTTTTTGGAGATTTTAAACTTAGACACAACTTCTCATCGTAGTAGCAATAATACATGTACAGAAGGCCTTTGTTAATTTCAAGGTCAGTATAAAAAAAAAAGTTTTTTATGATATATTTGCCTTTCCATCCATCAGTCTCGATTGACTGTTATTTTTAAGAAAATGCCGTGATAGAACTTGGAGACAAAAATTCGTCATAACTAAACTTCATTTTCTTTGTATTTCGACATTAGATAGATTCTCATCTTTTTAGGCCAAATAATTATAAAAGATTTATCATGAAAGCAAGAATAATAGATATTTTCACTAGATTCTTTATTAAATCAACAATTAAATGCAGTTCTAATGAAACTGTTCACATAAAGTTTTCAAAGTTTTCGACCAGGTAAATATTTGATTTATTTTGAAAATAATCATGCCTATTCCTCAATTATGATATAAGAATATATTTATTTTGTAGATTTGTTCAAGAATTAATAATTACAAAGCTAGCAATAATTGGCTATGAATTTGAGAAAATGACTGATAAAGAACCTCCAAAACCATTAAAACAAGCGTGGTATCATTATCAAACCTAGAACCATTTTTATATAAACAATAAAATAATGGCCGGTAATGACGAACCATACATTTATTATTAATGGAGTAACATGTTTCCTGATTCTGAAAGTCGAGGATACACAATGACGTCTCATTGAAAATACAAAATCAGAAATGTACAATTATATTTGCCGTATTAAAAAATTTGAAGCGTAATTATTTTTAATTACAAACCAATAGTCAGTATCAGTATAAGGGATTTAAAATTCAAAATATTTTGTTTTGAAGCTGCGAGATGTTATTTAGTTTAGTTAAAGGAACAAAATAACCAGCTATATTACAAAATTCTTCAAGTCCAGCTTTTGGTAGATATTTTTTATTTTTGTGTTTTAATGATAAGGAAGCATTTTCTTGTGCAATATATTGAATATTATTTGTAATAGAATCATTAGAAATTAACTAGCTGTTGTTTGAAAACTTGGAAAATGCATAATAGTTGCAGAGGAAATTCTTCTATATTTTTTTTACCTGTAATTAAAGTGAAAGAGAAGGAAAAAAATAATGAACAAAGGTGAAGTTGAAAAAAAGTAAAAAAAAAAAATGAAAGCATAATGTTAAAACAGATATATAAAAGTTTATTCATAGTTAAAAAAGTTGGTGTACGACATGACGGAACAATGATATAAAACAGTTATTCCGAGAACTTTTTTATTTCAATGTAACAAATAAAATCACTTAACCGGTAATTATTTATCCGTATATGCTATATTCCACTGATCTTTCGACCGAAAGAAGAGCAATGCAACTAATACAGGTTAATTTCGAAACTTTGAATCGTCAAAATTAATAGAGTTGCCATTTTCTCCATTTATGAGGAAGTAGTGGACATTATGACGATCTATAAGATTTTCCTCACCTTCAGTTAATAATATTAAATCCACTAAAAATTCTCCATTTTTTTTATATTTGTATTTTATGTGTCATTATAAATTGTTATTTTGTAAATCTTTGAAATAAAATTAGCAATTTTATTCTGTGAAGCATGAATTAAAACAACGTAAATAAAGTAATATGATGACTTTTTACGCTAAGGTAACTTCTAATCCTAAGTGAAAAAAGAATTCCTAAAAAACATAGTAAATAAAATTATATAATAATATTTTTTTTCAACATTAATCATTACTTGGAACATTTATATCCATCACTGCAGATATGTAATAAGATGTCGTGTATACATTCTCAAGTATATAAGTAGCGAGTGCGTTGGGCATGAATGGATCTTGATAATTTGTTTCAACCATACACTGTAAATAGATCTCCCGTGATTTCGTTCCAGTGTACAAAGAAAGTGGCACAACAGTAAATCTTGATAGCAAATAGCTCAAGAGTAACCTAGCCACTCTCCCGTTTCCATTGATAAAAGGGTGAATGTACAAGAAGTGAGCGAGAAAGCACGCCCCAAATTTGATAGCTTCATCTAACACCAATTCCTTTTTCCCAAATTTTTCTCGACATTACTGGAATAGCTCTTCTATTCTGTTCTCTATCAAATAAGGTGACAAATAAACAAAATCATATTGCGCTGCCATAACGTATCGCGTTCTGTACTGGCCCGCATTTTCAATCAACCCATTGCCAATCTGTTGATGCAAATGCTGTGCGAGCAAAGGCGTAAAGCAATCCATTGGAAGGTTTGGAAAGAAGATGTACGGAAAAATGTCGTTAATGGCATTGTGAAAATTTTGTACTTTTTTAGCTAGATGAGAAGAACGAGAGGGCCAAAAATTATTCTATGAATGTTATTGCCAAACGTTTTAATGCAAATGTAGCTAACCAAGCGTAATATAGGTCCAAAAATTATTCTTGGAAAAGTTATTCTGCAAACGTAATTCAGAAAAACTTTAAACCATGATTTCTTTAATAGCTGTTTTATAACATCGAGTTCTACATCGCCTTCCGCTGAAATGCATTCGATCAAATAACGTTCTCGATGAAGTTCCATAAAACCTCTCCAAAAAAGTTCATCCTCGTTATTAATAGATGTTGATATGGCTTGTTGGAGGCGTTCGATATTTGAGATAAAATAATGAGGAGCGCGGTCATCATAACCTGGTCTCCACCAAGGTTTATTCAAAAAGGCAAAGTTGGAATGTATCAAAGACATTTTATATGGAGAAAAACAAATTTTCTTTTTAAGTTTGATGATTAAGTTTTTAAGAGATTAGAAACAAACAAAATGCGTATTTATTAATCGAAACCACATGACTTAGAACTGCTGATCATTACTAGATTTTTGATATACGCTGTTAAACAGCGATTTGGTAAAAAGCTTTTTCATAAGATATAATATATATTTTGTTTTGTTGGAGATTTGCTACAGCACGAGATTCTCTCTAATTAAGAGCTTTGGATGCCTTGAATATCATCCAAATAAATCGCTGTTCATTTATTTTGATATTCCAATATGACAAGAATTCGGGATGGTTATGTAATCGATTCAAGTGTGATGATGTTGATAATAAATGAATGATTTTGATAAAGGAAATTTTCCAAGTAGAGCTGAGAAATATTGCCTGTTTACTTGAATACTCAAATACTATAAGATCATAGAATAACAAATGTGTATATAATTTGAAAATATAAAAAAAAAAGAAATCATTCATATTTGCATCACTTATATTTAAATTAATAAATTTTTTTAAAAAGCTTGCTAGCTTTTATTTTTTAGTCAATTTATAAAGGCGAAATTATTATTAAACACTAATAAGTACTGGAATTATTTGATATTTAAAAAGATGTATTCATTCTTGATTGCTTCTATTAGCTTTTTAGGTAAGTTGATTTCATAATATGATGGATGTTTGGGGATATTTCTTTTTCTAACTTTTTTTTCATTTAAGGATCGAAATAAGGATTTTTTCTTTAGGGATCAGAACTAGCTTTTCAGTAAATTTTGTTGTGTTGTTGATTTTCAAGGTATTGGTTTTATTTCTTTTTTTTAAGCTTTTTATTTTTTCTTTAGAATTAAAACTATTGTAACATTTGGAGCTTTTTATATCTAAGAAGGATTTGTGATGTTTAGAATTAAAACTATTGTAACATTTGGAGCTTTTTATATCTAAGAAGGATTTGTGATGTTTATTCTAATTTTTTTTATAACTCGATAATATAATTTTGTTTTTTCTTTTTTAGGATCAGATAAGTAAATATCATTATAAATTTCAGTGCAACACTTTCTTGTGGTTCTCTAGTCTCGCACTTGCATATGTAATCACTAATGATTCTATATTTTAGATTTATGTTCATGTTGAAATGAAGACTCAAGTTGAGTTAAATGGTAGCAAATTTTACATCGCGATTTGTGGAAGAGATAAACTCACGTCCTTTTTTGTTATAAAAGTAAATGTTGATTGATATTTATGAAAGTAGCACAATATCTGTAGATTTTAACAAATTTGCTGGTACTTCAAATTAGATTTAGACTCATAACAAATTATTAATGAGCTACCATATTCTATAAAAATAAATAAATTTAGTCTTCAAGTTTATGGAATATAAAGTTATAAATCAAAATTGTTTACTTGAAGCAGTGAAAGGTTACGTTGTTACGTCCGATTTGTAACTCAAATAAAATTCTCAAAATTAATAATGCTAAGACTAAACTCAGGGAATCACAA